GCTTATACTTTCTGAGAATGCTGGCTATCCAGAAACTACCTCAGAAAGCTACTGGAGAAGCACCAGAGGATGTTAAAGAAAATTCCTCAAGTCAGGAGGGGGGCCATGATAACAGTAATGAAAAGGTAGCTTTCTGATGTGCATAACCCACTTAAGAGGGTGATCAGCTTTCTCAGCAGCTGAATTCATCCATGCTGGGACAATGCACTGTAAGCTTGGTGTAAGACAGTGGAGATACCTCAGTAGTCACAGAGAGCAGAAGGCTGGCCCAGGACCATGACTGGTGTGCCTTGCAGCTACTAGGCTTGCTTCCTGTTGGCTACTCATGTTCCCAAATTAATGCTCCTTCATGTTTTGCCACTTTCTGTTCCTATAAATCTGTGAGATTTCTGTATTGTCTGAGAACCTGGACAGTGTAGTTTGTTTTGGTAGCATTCTGAGAGGGAGTTCAAGCTGGTGTTTGTTTTCTGTAGGAGCTTACAGAAACTGAACTCTTCTGCCAGTCCGTGCTGGGCATAAGGGCTACACATGTTGTAGGTTTATCCATATTTAAGATTATCTGTATAAAGGAAAAAGGCATAGTATAAATTTAGTTGCAATTTTGATGTCAAGGAATGAGAAAATAAATAATTAAATTGGAAAAACTGTTTATCGTTTTGACAAAAATGCAGTTTATGCTCCCCCCTTCAGCAGCTCTCCCTGCTCTCCACCAATAATAGTGTTCCAGCAAAATTCTTCATGCTAAAAGAAAGCAAAAATAACAAAGCACAGGCAGAAAAAAAGTGGTCTCCAAATTGGTTTTTATTTTTCTTATAGAAATATGATCGATGTAATAAAGATGATTTTAAGTCAGAATTTTTACTAATACTTTAGAGAATATAGCACTCGAAATTATTTTAACACTGTAGTGTTCTACTAATATGCAGTGAGGGGTTTTTGGCATGGTTCTTAGACTGTAAAGTGCTGTGATTTGCTGAAAAATATATTCCTTCAAGATTTGCTTGTCAGAATAGATTCCTTTCTAAAATGAGGTTCAATTTTTTGACAACACCTCTTTCAGTTATTCCGTTCTCTCTCTTATGTTGCTTACATAATTTTAGAAGTGTTTTCAGGACTTTAGCAAAAGAGTTTTCCTTAAATTGTGATTTAGGTGTTTTATTTTGTGGTGTTTTTTTTTTTTTTTTTTTTTTTTTTTTTTTTTTTTTTTTTTTTT